AGAGTCTCACTTTGTCACCCTCAGTAGAGTGCTATGGTGTCATAGCTCACAGCAACCTCAAACTCTTGGGCACAAGTGATTCTCTTGCCTCAACCTCCCAAGTAGCTGGGACTCTAGGCACCTGCCACAATGCCTGGCTATTTTTAAAGATGAGGTCTTGTTGTAGCTCAGGCTGGTCTCAAACTCATGAGCTCAGGCAATCTGCCCACCTTGGCCTCCTAAAGTGCTGGGATTACAGGTGTGAGCCACCATGCCCAGACTTTGTTTTAAAGTTTTTTAAAGAGCATTCTGAATACCAACTCTTTGTTAATTATGTCTTTCTGTTTTATCACTTTCTTATTATTTTCTTCTGTCATCTTTTAATTGAATGAATTGATAATTTTAATGTACTAGGATATATCAATACTGTTTGGTTAGCAATTTGCTATGTCTTTTTTAAAAAAGAGATGGAGTCTCACTGTGTACCCAGGCTGACTCAAGTGATCTTTTTACCTCAACCTCCCGAGTAGCTGGGACTACAGGTGCATGCCACTGCACTCAGCTGTTGTCTTTTTCTTTTTCTTGAGACAGAGTCTTACTCTGTCACTGGGCGGAGTGCTGATTCGTCATCACAGCTCACAGAAACCTCAGACTCCTCAAACTCTTGGGCTCAAGCAGTCCTCTTGCCTCAGCCTCCTGAGTGGCTGGGACTACAGGTACATAACACCATGCCCAACTAGTTTTGCTCGTTTTTAGTAGAGACCAAGTCTCACTCTTGCTCATGTTGGTCTTGAACTCCTAAGCTCAAGCAATCCACCTACCTGTCTCAGCCTCCGAGAGTGCTAGGATTACAGTTGTGAGACACTGTACCCCGGCCTTGGTTGTGTTTTTTTAAAGGAATCATTCCCTATCACAAGCTTATGAGTATATTTTCTTATACTCTATTTCAAGTTCTGCTTTTTACATTATGTCTTTAATATTTGTAGAACTCTTCTTTATGTGTAGTATGAAGTAGGGATTGGTCTATTTTCCCACTATGGGTGGTCAGGTGTCTTCATGTTATTAGTCGAGTAGACTTTTTCCTGTCTCTGATATGTATCTGGGCTCCATAAGTAAGTGTGTGTGTGTGTGTGTGTGTGTGTGTGTGTGTGTGTGTTTCTAAGAGCTTTCTGTTATATTCCTTATGCCAGTTACCTGTCTCTGCATCAGCATTGTACATTTTAAATTTCAATAATTATTTTTAGGATTCAAATAAATTTTGGATCCAGTAATCAAAGGAGCTACTAAGTATTTTACAATATATTTATGAAGTTTCATAAAAATATAAAGTTGGCTGATTGATTCACTAAACAAAATTTTATCAAAGGATTCTAAATTTTATCTTTAGGATGCCAGGAAACAGCCAGGAAGCATACCAGGACCTGAAAATAAGGCAGAAACAACTCCCTTTCATGGATGTGTTATCTAGTGGAGGAAGGCAGACAGCAAACAAATAAAATTACGTCACTGCAGATAACGAGAAGAGCTACAATGAAAATTATGTAGGGCAAGGTCATAGAGTATAACTCTGAAGTGATAGGCACAAATCCTAAAAAATTGATCAATTGTGCCTCTATTAAAAATGTATTTCTCAGGGCAGTGCCTGTGGCTCAAAGGAGTAGGGCTCCAGCCCCATATGCCAGAGGTGGCGGGTTCAAACCCAGCACTGGCCCCCCAAAAAACTGGAAAAAACCAACAAAAAACCCCCTTAATTCTCAAAAAATACCATGAAGAAAGCAAAGGGCTTTTCTGAAGAGATGATATGTTAGCACAGGCAACAAATGAGAGGAGCCAGGAATGTGAAGATCTGAGTTGGGGGCATTTGAAGGAGAAGGAGCAAGAGACAGAGGCCATGAGGCTGGGGCAGGATGGCTTCTTCTGAGGACTACCAAGAAGGGCATCACGGCAGGCGCCGAAGGGGCTACAGGAGGATGGTGGAGAGTGAGGTGGGAAAGATAAGCAGGTGCCAGAATATGCTGAATCTTTAGGTCATGGATTTTATTGTACGCATAATGGAAAGCCATTGAGAATGTTTCTGATTTTAAAAGATTACTTGGGCTTCTATGTGGAAAATAAACTTTTACACAGCAGGAAGCAAGATGATAAGCTGGTAGAAATCTGCTGTTGTGGCCCAGTGGAAAAATAATGGTGGCTTAGATCAAGGTGGTAGTTGTGGAAGTGTGGAGAAGCAGTGGGAGTCCAGATAAAATTTGAAGGTAAAGTCAGGTTTCTCAAAGGAATAGGATGTGAGATCTAAGAGAGAAAAATCAGTGGCCTCATCGAAGGTTTTTGGCCTGAGAAAGTAGAGGGAGTGTTGGCACTGAGATGGAGGAGAGGCAGACTTGGAGGATACGCAGAATCAGGGATTATGTTCTAGATAAATCTGAGATGCCCCTAAACAATAGTGATGATTATGAGGCAGGCAGTTGGATGTGAGTTTAAGAGGAGATATTATAGCTGAATATATAGATTGAGGAGTCATTGGTCTGTAGATTTTTTTTTTTTTTACTCTGTGGTAAAATTAGTTTTTATACCTTGGATGAAAAGTGGAATTTTTTTTTTTGTAATTTTACTTTGAAATATAAAGAGCTAAAATATAATTTTGAAAGTTAGCACACTGGAAAACATTAAAGTAGTTTGGATTTAAAAGATGTGATAATGTGAATATGAAATTCTGGCTTAGTTGAAAAATGAAACTTAGAGTGAAGACTAAATCATTGATTTTTAAAATAAAAGTTTTTGTAGTCTGAAAGCAAAGAAACACACAGTGAAAGTGTGGGGGTCCTGGGGCACAGTGCACTCAATTTATTTGCCCTCCTCCTTCAGGGAGTGTTTTCCCTTTTTTATCCTCTCTGAAACTGGGCATTGCTTTCATGGATTAGTAGCTCGGGCAAATGGGTCAGAAACAGCCTCAAAGCACTGTATAAATTGATTTCTGGGGCAGCAAACTTTAAAGACACAGACTTTGGAAGCAAATGGTCCTGAGTTAGAATCATTCTCGTTATTTACTGCTTAGTCTTAGGGAAGGCAATCTCTGAACCCCTAGATTCCCCATCTCTAAAACAGATGGCATACTGACTTTTCATGAAAATTAGAAATTAGAGTAGAAATCCTAGTAAGTATAAAATATTGTTGTATATTCTAGTAATTTGTATTTTTCTGATTACTAATGAGGCTGTGAGTAACTTTTCGTATGTTTATCGATCATTGGTACTTCGTCTGTGAAATGGCTTTGTGTTTTGCTCATTGGTCTTGGGCAATATAAGGAGATAAAGCAAAATGCAAGGAGCACACTGAACCTTCAGTGCCTTTCATTATCATTGGATGTGTATTTTCATTTCTGTGTCTATACTTTGTATGTTTGATGCACACATACCTGTCGATTCTTCTTGGATTGATAGCAAACCAACATAAAAACAAAATGGTTATGTGAATTTATTTAAGTATGTAGTTGGTGAAATGAATAACCACTCAGGCCATTTCAGTCATAATTCTGTTCTGTGTTATTATCACATTATGTAAATCTGTGACTTTAGTATTGATTACTTTCTCTTCTTTCTTTGAGATGTTATAGCAAACAGTGAGGAAGCTCAACTTCTAACCCCAGGAAAGATGAGTCAGCGCCAAGGGAGAGAAGCTTATCCAACACCAACCAAAGATTTGCATCAGCCATCTCTTAGTCCAGCAAGTCCTCATAGCCAGGGTGAGAAGTTATGGTTTTCATATTTTGGACTTTTTTTCTTTTAAAGAACAAAGGGGTAATGACATTTTGTGTCTATCATAATTGTTTTCTTTGTAACTATTTGGTTTTCTGAGGTTTTTGGTGTATTTTATTTGGTTCATCCCTGATATTCTTTAATTGAGTATATTTTCCTTAAAAGACCTTTAATTTCTTATATTCCCCAACATACTTTCCTAGTTATACCATTCTTCTAATTTAGTGATTCTGTCATGCTTTTTGTATCTTGGTTCCTACGCTGTTAAAAATTATTGAAGACCCTAAAGAGCTTCTGTTTGTGTGAGTTATGTCTATTGATATTTACTGTATTGTATTTTAAAACAAATTAACAAATTTTTATTCACTTAAAATAAGAACAAACCCATTACATGTTGATACAAAATGTTATAATATTAAGAATTACTATGTTTCTCTCCCCTCAAAGCATTGATTGAGGTGGTTGGTGTTAGTTTATCTCAGGATTTCTTAACATTGATGTTTTGGCCTGTGTAATTCTTTGTTGTGGGGGACTGCCCTGTGCATTTACAGGATGCTTAGCAGTATCCCTGGCTTCTATGTATAGAGGCACTTTCCCTGGTTAAGGTGACCCGGAAATGACTTTAGATGATGTTGATGTCTCTTGAGGGACAAAATCATCCTTGATTGAAAACTATGGTGTTATAGTTTTTGCAAATCTCTTTAATGTATGGCTTTATAAAAGACAACCTGAATTTTTATATTTGCTTGTCCAGTCTCTTGTGATGTGATGATTTCATTAAAAAGTATGAGGTCTGACAATTAAGTTTGTGAACTGATCCTAGAAAAAGTGCTATATACCTCTTTGCTGAATATCACTACAGTCACCTTCAGGGTACTTCCCTTGAGAAGCTGTGCACTGATGCCAGTGCCTAGTCCACTCTTCAAAGCAACTCTTTTTTTCTTTAATGACTGTCAGAGCTGTGGTAAGAGATCTGACCATTAAGTTTACTAACTTTGCACTGTGTGCTTATGTTGGCAGCACTGTACAAACTACTCAGTAAGGTTTCAAAACCTTGATATATCAGGGTCTCACAACTGTATTTGTGTCAACATATGGTGGTTATCTTGCTGATTGATGTTCATTATTGTAGCATGTTTTTGTGTGCCATACAACAATAGCTTTGATACTCATTACAGAAAAAGAGTTACAAAATTGCTCATGATTGAGGGGTGAACTAGGTGCTGGCATTGGTGCGTGGCTTCCTAAAGGGAGTAATTAAGAAGGTAACCGTAGTGATATTCAGCAGTAAGGTATATAGCATTTTTTCTAGGATGAGTTCATCAACCAAATCGACAGACCACATATGAATAAAATCTGGCTTCATACATAGATGTAGTTAGAAAAGGGGGATTATATTATTAGCTTTTGTACATAATAGTTAGGTATTCTTTGATAATATACCAAAACTTGACAAATAGTACAACTGTTTCTTGAATGTTAGTTGCAATATGGAATCTGAAACTATACCAATACACTTTTCATACTCTGTTAAATTAAAATTCAGATTAGTCTATTGTGAATTTTGAATGGGTCTTTCCTCATTAGTCACTTAGAAAATATTTTTTCACTGACTTAGGCAGATCTTTCAAGTTGCTTAGGCTGGTCTCAAGTGTTGACACATCTAAAACAACAATACAGAGAAGTGCTTCATGCAAACTTTTCTCTTGTTGCACAGAATATTCTAATCATGTGTACCGAAAGTTCAAGATTAATAATTTTTACTGCTTCATCAAGGACTTTTATTAGTGAAACTGACATTATTTTACTGTGAGTTCACGATCATGAAGAATTGAGTGCCAGTAGCTACAGTTGGTGCCTCTGCCTTGATTTTTGCTAAGGTACAGGTCTTTTGACTTAACATTGCTTTTGCACTGTTAGTGGAAATGACAGCATAATGGAAAAGTATTAGGAGATTGGTTTTGACCTTGTAGACCCTCTGCAAGGGTCTTGGGGACTCCCAGAGGTTCATGGATTGCACTTTCTAATTCATAATTGATCATTTTGTTCAGTGGATTCTGCTACGCAGCTGAAGTTTGTCTAATGAAATGTTCTGAATTCACCTGTGCGTATTACCAATCTCTGCAGTGGAAGGACTTTGGCTTGTAAAACCGAGAACTTAAATTTGGTGTTTGAAAGCCAGTATGTATTTAGGTTTGTTGAGTATTTTTTAGAATTAAACTTAGAGTCCTAATGATCATTGTGTGTCAGGTTTTGGTCTTGTAACTATGACTTATTCATTGAAAGTAGGCTTTAGTAACTTTTAAAAAAATGAATACTAACTGGTAAATAGTAAATTACATGATCATTTTCTGCTCTGTATCAATGGAAAATGTTTTTCTGGTCATGTCTTAGATGGAAACACTTTTATATAGCATTGTGGGAACTATAAACGTTTTATATAACAAGGTGAAAGTAGTTGCTATTTTAACATTTATTGCTTAGTTTTTAAACATATTTTTGGACATTAGCATTTTTGTTGCCAAAATGCTTTTATGAAGACCCCCAAAACCCCAAAATGGATTTATGATACATACTCTGGTATAAATAAGCTTAAGATAAATTTTAGAAAGATAGAACTGCCTTGGGTCCCGTTCTGTGCTCTAGAATTTTGACTGTAATCGATATGGTTCATCTGACTCATGTGTCTGTGCGCTAGAATATTAGAATCTGAGTTCTTTAAACTTAACGAACCAACAAGAGGGTTAGTTACTAATAGTTGTAACTGCTCTGTCTATCATAAACATTTTCAAACAAACAGGGAAGTTGAGAGGAGATTACAGTGACTACTGATATACCCACTGTGTAGATTTAAGAAATTTTTAACATTTTGTTGCATTTGTTTGATTTATTTGGAGGTGAAATATTTAGAGTGAGTTATAGTACTCATGATGTTATACTCCCATATACTTAGTGTATCTCTGAAAAGTAATCACATTTTCCTTTTAAAAATTAATGAATTTAGGGCGATGCCTGTGGCTCAGTGGGTAGGGTGCTGGCCCCATGTACCAAGGGCGGCAGGTTCAAACCTGGCCCTGGCCAAACTGGAACAACAACAACAAAAAGAAAATAGCCGGGCATTGTGGCAGGCACCTGTAGACCCAGCTACTCGGGAGGCTGAGGCAAGATAATCACTTAAGCCTAAGAGTTGGAGGTCGCTGTGAGTTACGATTCCCCAGTACTCTACCGAGGGTGACAACATAAGACTCTGTCTCAAAAATAAAAAATAAAAGTTAAAAAAAAAAAGTAATGAATTTATTTATTTTGAGGCAACATCTCATAGGCTAGAGTGCAGTGGCATCATCATAGGTCACAGCAACCTCAAATTCCTGGGCTCAAGTGATCCCTCTGAGTCACCATCCTGAATAGCGGGGGGATGGTACATGCCTGGCGGTGATACATCCCATAGATAAAGAGACATTTACTTTTGAGGGAGACAGGGTCTCACTATGTTGCTCAGGCTGGTCTCAAACTCCTAGCCTCAAGTAAAGTGTTGGAACCACAGGCTTGAGCCACTGTGCCTGGCCTCAGTACATTTTGTTACATAACTCTTAAGTCCTTTTTAACATCTGTCCAGTTAATGATAATTGCTTAACCTAATACCTGGTTCAGATTTGAATTTCCCTAGTTGTCCCCAGGTTTTTTTCAGGATTGTTGAAACTAAATAAGATTCACACGTCATATTTGGTTATGTCATTCCATCTTTTATCCTTCAGCATATCCTTTTTTAATTTTTGTTTTCTTTTGTGCCTTTGACTATTTTAAGAAACTGGGCCTGTGGCTTGTAGAATGTTTGACTTTTTGGATTTGTTTGATTGCTTCATTGCAGTATTGTTCAGTTTGTTTCTCTACTGTATTTTTTGTAAACTGGAATTTAAATGCAAAGGGTTGATGATATCTAGGCTGAACATTTGTGGCAAAAATGCTTTGAAAGGAGTGTGTAGTACAGGCAGTGCCCAGGTTACGAACGTGCACGATAGGTTCTGCAGGTTTGTTCTTAAGTTAAATTCATATGTTGTAACAAGTACATTTACCTATGACTTGTGATAGCCCCTGTGTGTAAGTGTGAGTAGTATGTCAGTCGGATATTTGTAACTTAGAGACTACCTGTGCTTTGCGCTGCATTACGTGGGAATTCACTTGGTATATTCTTTTCCCACCGCTAGTAGTATGAGACTGATCGGTGGGTTCGGGTGGCAACAGCCTGATTCTCTTCTTTGAAAACTGCATCTTCCCTTATGACTTGTAAGTAAAAATGGAGATGAAGTATTTGGCACCCTGCAAATATCCTGTTCTCCATCAACTTTTTACCAAAAGATGTTCATAAGCTTTGATGATCATTAACTGAATCAGTTGTAGTGTCAGGAGTTGAAAAATGATGATTTTCTAAATTCTAGCATACTTTTTACATTTCATAGTGAAATATTTCTGTAGAGAAGAGATCTTTAGGGTTAATTGGTAAATGTTGAAGGATAGTTCCTGTGGGAAAGTTAGGATAAATGGGTAGTTGTTACCTGCTAAGTACCATTTTTTAGATTATAGAGATGATGTAAAGTCTATTTCTAGTGTTGACAACCCTTTTTGTCTTTTAGGTTTTTTAAATGTCATGAAGAACTCATACATTTTTGTATTTCATTATGTTTTAGTCATTAATATTACAATGATATGAAAGATAATATTTAGGGCAGTGCCTGTGGCTCAGTGGGTAGGGCGCCGGCCCCATGTGCCAGAGGTAGTGGGCTCAAACCCAGCCCCAGCCAAAAACTGAAAAAAAAAAAAAAAAAAAATAGCCAGGCATTGTGGCAGGCACCCGTAGTCCCAGCTACTTGGGAGGCTGAGGCAAGAGAATCGCCTAAGCCCAGAAGTTGGAGGTTGCCATGAGCTGTGTTGACACCACCACACTCTACCAAGGGCGATAAAGTGAGACTCTGTCTCTACAAAAAAAAAA